AATATCTCCTCTCATTGGGGCTTTTCTCTGTATAAATAAAGGCTAAAGAAAAATCCTTCAGCCATATGTATAGTAATAATAATATATACACAACAGTATAGTACAGGGGTGTCTAATCCTGGTCCTCGAGAGCCCCTATCCAGCATGTTTTAGATGTTTCCCTCTTTCAACACACCTGATTCACATGATGAGGATGGTTATCAGGCTTCTGCAGAGCTTGTTGTTTGGCTGATGTTTTGTGTTAGGTGTGTTGGTCTAAAACATGCTGGATAGTGGCTCTCGAGGACCAGGACTGGACACCCCTGGTATAGTATATATATCGCACAGGAACAGAAACTACTACACAGCATTAAAATAACTAGACAAGAAGAACAATACAGCATTTCTAAAAGTTATTTAAGTAATTTAGTAGATACCTAATATAGAATAACAAATACAGACATTTTTTATGAATATATTTGTCTAAAAACGACTTAATTTTTCTACTCTTATTTTTAATTTACTCTATAACTTTATTATCCCTTGTTTTTATGGTTTAACCCTCCATTTTCTTTCTTTTTTATTAATGTGATGTAGTGTTTTTATTGGTGCATGTGCTTCAAACTGTGTTCATCTATTTATTCTGACGGTCTCTATCTTGTTCTCTCTTTTTTGACCAGCCTTCTGTTATTATTATTATTATTATTATTGTTGTTGTTGTTGGTCATATGACGTCACTTTCTATTATCGGGCTTTGGAAAACGTGTGTCCTTTACGCAACGCATCATGGGTGTTTTGTAAACCACAAATCAGTGACTAAAACCCGACATGTGGGGCTGAACACATGATGAAGCTTAATACAAACAGTGCTGTTAGGAAACACAACGTTAGGATCAGGGGACCCACAAGCTCAGCGAGACGGAGGAAAACCTGAGCAAAAACACACTGAAATGGTACAAAAAAAAGAGTCGACTTAAATCCACTTACTTTCTCTGTGAATTTGAGAAGAACCACTCTGAGTCTGCTTTGGTGATTCTTGCCGAAGATGTGTCGCTTCCCGGTGAACGTCGTCTGTCTGCATACGGCGCAGTAATACGCTCCCATCGAGACCCCGGGCGGGACTTTACACATAAACTGAAGCGAGACGGACACAAGACCTGAACTAAAACCCACTATTTGATTTTTTCCCCCTCCTATTTTCTAGTCAACTGCTCGGAAAAGACACAAACGTGCATCGTTTATCTCTATACGTTTGCCACAGGAAGCAGGTCCGTCTTTAAATGTGTCCCCCCCGGAAACAAACAACCGAATGGAAAAGGCCGGTTTTAGTGGTTTCCATCATTTAGTGCAGGGGTGTCCAGTCCTGCATGTTTTAGATGTTTCCCTCTTCCAACACACCTGATTCAAATGGTCAGCTCATCATCAAGCTCTGCAGAAGCCTGATAACGACCTTGATCATTTGAATCAGGTGTGTTGGAAGAAGGAAACATCTAAAACATGCAGGATTGGACACCCCTGATCTAGTGGATTTTTGAAAAGAATGCAATGTTGTCAATAACTCTGCTTAACTACATCACAGAGCCAAATGTTGCACTTCACCATATTTGTGGAACAGTTGGATTGTAGGGCAGTGGTGATTCTAGGTTTTATTTTTAGGGGGGCGGGCAATAGGGGGGCAGTGCTATATTTTGGGGGGCACCCAATTACTGTGTTATTCGTAGATGTAGGCTACAGCAATTTCTCGAGAAGTGTTCTTTACTTGTACTCACATTGTATGACTAAATATAGACCTAACCTAATTAAATTGATCTAACAATACAAACATGATCTGGAAAAGGTTTCTAGTCAGAACGTCCCATGGGATGTACAATAATTGCTTCTTTCAAAAGCAACTCATGACACTCAAACTGATTCACAGTGAAGACTCATGTTANCCTATTTACCATCAGAAGATTTCAAATCTGTGTAAAATAGCATTCTTAGGACATCTTTTAGCCACATTAGCGTCATGGCTCGATGTCTGTCCACCATATCGTACCTGACTGAATTACCTCTGCTACAGGAAGGATCGGCACAGAGTCCGTCCATGGCTTTTCCTCTGGTGCAAGCATGAGACTGACAGCCACAATTTAGACTAAACTGTCTCAAACTGTTGGATGGATTGTTGTGAGATCTGATACACGCATTCATTTTCCCTCTCAGGATGGATTGGAGTAGCATCAGGGATCTCCTTACTGTTACTCCACCACGATCATCAAGTCAGAATTGCAAACTGTCTATGATAGACACAGTTAGCCGTCTTTAGGGTGGAGGTCATTTAAAAATGATGTTGCGTTACCTGTTTAATGTATTCATCTTCTTTCTCCACGTATGACTCCAACGCTTTTGCTACTTCAGCTTTAAACCTGAACAAAACGATCAGTGTTATGTCCCCAAACAAACTTTATTAATAATGACTTGTGGTTCACGAGGCCTACCTTTCAGTCTCCTCCTCTGCGATGATGACCTTGTCCCTTAACTTTGGGTCCGCCTTATTTTCCCACCAGAACTTGTGTGTATTCTTCCTGTGCTCTGGGCTGAAATCAGACAATTTGACATATTAACCACCAGCAGCTAGAAGACAAAAGCAGCAGTTTCTAATAACAACTCTCTCCACAAATGTTTGACATATGCACCTTATAAGTGTTGGTATCAAGGTGCTTCCATACGACAGGAGTATGCAGAATACAACTTACGTGGCCATGTGCTCTATTAAGCCTCCGTACAGCACCGCCATGTTGCCGTCTGTAACATTGCTCTCGATGTCAAGCCCGCAGCAGTAGCACCAGAACGTCTGCTTGTGCTGGGTGCAGTCAAATTTTTCTACTTGGGGTTTCTTGAGTGTCCTGCGAGCTTCTTTAACCTGGGAGAGAAACAGACTCTTATCAAAACAGCACTGCTCTTGTAAAGTTTACCTTCATGAAGGTTTAAATATTACAGTAAGGGATGATGGTGTCGTTTGTGGAATTGTTGAATTATACTGAGCTGTGTATGCGCATTTATTGAGATATTTATGGTTGCGTGTTGCAGCAACACGAGAAGTGATGGAGATAAAAGTGAAATGCAAGAAATTAGAGACAAGATAAATAAATATATGTGCATCACAAAATTTGCATTATGTGCTCACAAAAGAATCACAATTAGAATCTGAGCCCAAAATGTTTACGCTATTAGAAAGATAGGTGGCCGTCACTGGCAGTTAGAAGAGAATAGCACTACATCTTATTTATCTACAAAGCATTGTTAGGAAAAAATACCTGAATATCTTACTTGTCTTTTTAATTACAGATCAAATTCTCATCAAACTAGGGCCCAAGATTTTATAGTCTGGGAAAACACTCATTAAAACTGAGATCAGGGAAATAAGCATTTAAATATTATCCACTCAAGTATTGGAACAAAATTTTTAAAAAACCTGTTGAGATGAGATAATCTAATCCCATTTGACAGGTTTAAGGCCCTGGTGTCCCACATGGAGCAGTACGAGTGTCCGTGTTTTCTTTAATTTGTACTCTTTCTCTAACGTATGATTGTTTGTTCTGTATGTGCAGAGTGCATGTCTGTGCAAATATCTATTCTTTACATTTCATTCCATGTTTATTCTGTACTTTAGTAATAGCTAAAAATGGGTTTTTTGCTTATTGTCATGCTTGCAGGGCATCCATGGGAAAAAAAAAAAAAAAAAAAAA